AATCCAAGGGATAAGACCAATCAAATTTTGCGAAAAAACTGGCATTGCCTCTTTGAAGATATGGCTTGGCAAACCTACTCCTCTCGTCCTCTGTCGTTTCTTCATCGCATTATTCTCCATTATTCGAATCGAAGGGTTAAGAGCAATTAAATTTTGCGGAATAACCGACGATGGCTTTCTTGAAAAGATGTCTTGGCAACCCTGCTCCTCTTATCTTCTGCCGTTTCTTCATTGCATTGTTTCGCAAGACCACTCAAATTTTGCAGAAGAGTCGACATGGCCTCTTTGAAAAGATGTCTTGGCAACCCTGTTCCTCTTATCCTCTGCTATTTCTTCATCGCATTGTTCTACATTCTTTAAATCGAAGGGGAGGACCAATCAAATTTTGCGAAATAATCGGCATTGCCTTTCTGAAGAGATGTCTTGGCAACCCTACTCCTTTCATCCTCTACCGCTTCTTCATCGCATTGTTTCGCATTCTTCGAATCGAAGGGTAAGACCAATCAATTTTGCGGAATAACCGACGATGGCTTTCTTGAAGAGATGTCTTGGCAACCCTGCTCCTCTTATCTTCTGTCGTTTCTTCATTGCATTGTTTCGCATTCTTCGAATCAAAGGGATAAGACCAATCAAATTTTGCGGAATTATCGACATGGCCTCTTTCAAGAGTTGTCCTGGCAACCCTCTTCCTCTTATCCTCTGCCGTTTCTTCATCGCATTGTTCCACATTTTCCGAATCGAAGGGGTAAGACCAATCAAATTTTGCGGAATTATCGACATGGCCTCTTTTAAGAGATGTTCTGGCAAGCTTACTACTCTTATTATCTGTCGTTTTTGCACCACACTGTTCCACATTCTTCGAATCAAAGGGATAAGACTAATCAAAATTTGCGGAATAATCGAAATGGCCTTCTGGAAATGATTATATAATGATTAAATAATGATGCCTAAAAATATTTTTTAAGGGTCAGTCATGGTTTTTAAAAAATAAATTCATTGGAAAAAAAATCGTGGAATTAGAATATTTTCGTCTAGTTTTTGGATATTATGTTTTTGAGAATCGGTTGATCACTAAAAATAAAAATATTAAAAATAAAAATATTTATGAACTAGCCACTTCATATAATGCCCTTCCGAGCCGTGTTTTCTATCACATGTTTTACGTATTCAGCAAAAATTTAAGTAAACAATATAATAATAATAAAAAGCAAACTGAAAACTGGTTTCTTAACATTTTTTTAAATGACAACAGCAACAACCAAACAAAAATTAGGTTCCAATTCCAGAATGAAAACGTTTGTCAGAGTTGTGCATTATGATATGTGGTTTATGTCAGCGGGTGATGAGCTCAGCGGTTTTTTTCAGTTTTATTTTAAGAATATTTGTTGTTTAAGCCATAAAATGCTTGAGAATAGCTGTAGGAAGTTTGAGTTGACAGAATTTTTGTTTTTGTCAATGAATGGTTTTTTAACACAAATTGTTTATAGAATCATTTTTATAGGTATTTGTTTTTGAAATTATTATTATTATTCAAATGCAAAGTAATTTTTTATTAATTTTTATAGGCATGTAGATTTGGTTGTCCTACACCCACGATTACGTTAAAATTTTAACGTTTGCGGTTGTTTGGAAATGCAACACCTACAACAATTGCAAGTGAAAAAGGCAACATTTTTGAGTTTTATTTTCGAAATGTGTGAAAATTTAAATAAAAAGTGGAACACTAAGATTCAATTGGAACAGCAGACAGAATGTTTAAGCTTTGCATTGAATCATTGTCATATTTTAATGCAGTATAGCTTAGCCCAAAACTTAACGTAGATATTTTTTTCAAACTTGAATTTGCAACTAAGAAAAATCGGAATTATTTCATCTCTTTCCAAAAATATGATTTTATGAAAAATGCTTATTCTTGGATTAAAAGTTTCGATACGAACGCGAAAACCCATAGACCATTTAAAAGGCAAGTCAATGTTTCATTAAAAAAATACCCTGTACCTTTGTACTTTTCCCATTATCGACTTCTCTTAGATGGTCGAAACCCCAATCTCAAATCTTAAGGTCGCTGGTTCAGATCAGGCTCAAAGGACGAAATGTGAAAAAGGAGAAAATAAAACTCTCCGATTCGTCGAGTCGTTTCAAACCTCTCCTGTTGGTAAGCTTCCGTATTTGTGAGCAATAGCTCCCATCATTGCAGATCGTGTAAATAATGACTTTCCCATAAGGAAGCCGCCGTTAGCTCAGTTTTTCGCGTTTATTTCAGCTTACCATCTTCCTTATTACAAAGTGATGATAATCCTACTTCCAAATAATGGATCTTTCTAAATTCTGTGGCTTGGTTTAGCTTCTCCAAAGTGACTTGCATTTTCCAGTTCGCTTTCCTATTGTTCTCATTCTCACGAAAATTATTAGTTCATTGCAAAATTATTAGTTCACAAAATTCTGGCATCCTATATAGGTTAGGATAGCCGAATGTTGTGCTCCAAAACCTCATTTGTAGATTGGTCCTTCATCCTGCTCTTCTCATCCTCCGTCGTTTTTCATTACAATCTTCGAATCGAACAGCTAAGACCTATTAAATTTTGCAGAATAATCGAAGAGATTTCTTGGCAACCCTGATCCTTTTATCTTCTGTCGTTTCTCCATCGCCTTGTTTTGCAGTCTTCGAATCGACGGTGTAAGGGGATTCGTCTTTCATCCTGCACTTTTCATCCTCCGCCGTTTTTCATCACACTCTTCGAATCGCAGGGGTAAGACCTATAAAATTTTGCAGATCATGATCCTCTTAAAGAGTTTTCTTGGCGACCCTGCTCTTTTATTCTCTGCCGTTCCGTATTCTTCGGAATAATCGGCATTGTCTTTTTAAAGAGATGTCCTGGCAATCCTGCTCCTCTTATCTTCTGCCGTTTCTTCGTCGCATTGTTCTGCACTTTTTGAATTAAAGTGGTAAGACCAATTAAATTTTGTAGAAAAATCGACATGGCCTTTTATAGAGATGTCTTGGCAACCCTGTTTCTCTTATCCTCTGCCATTTCTTCATTGCATTGTTCCGCAATTTCGAATCGATGGGGAGTTATGGAGTAATCGACAGACCTTCATGAAAGATGTCTTGGCAATCCTGCCCATTTTATCCTCTGCCGTTTCTCCATCGCATTGTTCCACATTCTTTGAATCGAAGGGGTAAGACCAATAAAATCTTGTGGAATAATCGACATGGGCTTTTTGAAGAGATGTCTTGACAACCCTGCTCCTCTTATCATCGCATTATTCTGCACTTTTCGAATCGAAGGGGTAAGACCAATTAAATTTTGTGGAATAATCGGTATGACCTTCTTAAAGAGATGTCTTGGCAATCCTGCTCCTTTTATCCTCTGTCGTTTCTTTATCTCATTGTTCCGCATTCTTCGAATCAAAGGGGTAAGACCAATTAAATTTTGTGGAATAATCGACATGGCTTTCTTGAATGAGATGTCTTGGCAACCCTAATCCTCTTATCATCGCATTGTTCTGCACTTTTCGAATGAAAGTGGAAAGAGCAGTACAATTTTGCGGAATAATCGACATTGCCTTCTTGAAGAGATGCATTGGTAACCCTTTATATACCCTCCATACCTAGCATGGTGGATGGTATAAAAAATCCAAGACACTGTAATTCATTAACTGTGTATTTTGTAGCATTTTCTCGAAGGACCTTCTGAATTTTTTTTCTAACAAAAAAATCCTGAACATTTTAAGGGTACTTCTGAATTATCATCTGATCAAAACTCGTGGATTTTAGGACAGTTTTTTTCTTGGAACATCTGACTAAAAATCTGAAGAGATGTCTTTTCAACTCTGTTCCTACTATCCTCTTCCTTTTCTTCATCTCATTGCTCTGCACTTTTCAAATCAAAAGGGTAACACCAATCAAATTTTGCGGAATAAACGACATGACATTGTTGAAGAGATGTCTTCACAACCCGCTCCTTATATCCTCTGTTCTGCACTTTTCAAATTGATGCTTGGAGCAGGCTCCTTTCATCTTCTACCGCTTCTTCATGCATTGATCCGTTTATCCTCTGCATTTTTCCATCGTCTTCTTCTGTATTCTTCGAATCCAAGGGACAAGACCAATCAAATTTTGCGGAATAATCGAAATTTCCTTGACGAGATGTCTTGACAACCCTTCTTCCCTTATCCTCTGCCGTTTCTTCATCGCATTGTTCTGTAGTCTTTTTGATCGCTCTGCTCCAGTAAATTTCTGAAGAATTCTATTCCCTCTTTCACATATATCGGTCTTTGCTTGTCGTCGAATTTCAGTACTTATTCATAAGCTGCTAAAACTCCTCCAAGAATGATCTTTTCATCTTTAACTTATGATAATTTTGAACAGAGATTGCTTCCAGAAATAATGATATTTTTCCGACATCTTCTCTTCATTTCTTCATCGCATAGGTCTTTTTGGAAAGATGATAATTTTCAACCTTCTTTTCAAAGTTAAAGGTTTTATCAAATTTCTTTTAACCTCGAATAAAATAAACGAACATAACTTGTCTCCAATCGCATAATCGATCTGCTCCAAATTCCTGACGAATTCTGTTCCCTCTTACACATATGACGCTCTGCGGTTGTCGCAGAATTCCAGTGGATACTATAGTCGTATGACAGAAAATTGTCCGTGCAGGTTCACGCCTCCGTATAGCGACACCTCCCGATATTAGGTTTTTTTTTTGATGATTTTAGCGACATTATTTACCGGAAGTGTTTCAAATTTGGTATTTGAAGTTCGTAATGGATATTACAGCCCATGACAAAAAATTACTTATGCAGCGCCACGTCTTTGTATAGCTTCCATACAAAGGCCGAACTTAGCTGATTTTTTAGTTCTTTTAATTCATCTTTGATTTCCAATTATATTTTCAACTGTCATCCTTTCATTCTCCAAATATTTTTAATCCTAGAAGTTTGTTCTCGATATCTTTTGTAACTTTTTTTTAATTTGAAATATTTTTTCTTTTCAGTTCCTTGGCATTATTTGCATGGCCTGCGCATCACCTTCATACATTTCAGCGACAGCATTCTTCATTTTTGTTGCCGTAGTGTCATTTATTGCCACTTTGTTGTGGATTTTCGCCTACTTGTTGGGTATTAGAGAGGCTTTGAATGTTGCCATTAATTGGATATTTACGGTAAGTATTTTCAAAACTATTTTGAATATGCAATTACAAAAAATTAAACATTATTTACTGCTGACGTTTAACAAAGTACTAATATTAATTGCTTAGTTGGGTGGCTAAAAAGTTAACGAAATCAGGGCGTGAAACTATGGAAGCGAATCCTCGTTTTGTGAGGTGACCCAAAATACCATAAAAATTCTCCAATGGAGTAAGGATTTCTTAATCCTAAAGCCTTAGAAACAAAAATAAATCTTCTCATGACTAGATTTATTCTAATCTAAACATCACTACGTTTTTACACTCCAAAATCGAAAATTATTTCCCAAAGACTTTGTTTAAATTTTGCATTTGAAGAAATTGATTACAATGACGTTGTTACTACTGCTACCAAATTTATTTTGGTATTTGGAATATTAATTTTGAGATTATTACTTGCCTTGCCAAACTTTAGTATTGGCCTCAAAATGAACTTGTTTTAATGTGGCTTATGAATTCCTTACCAATCAATTTACCGCTTAAATTGAAAACATTAAACTTAAAATTATACGCAAGGTATATTTTAGTCTTCGAACCAAATTCTTTAACAAGTTGACCCATGGCAATAGCCAAGAACAAGAACGGAACGGTAAACATGCAACCACCACATCAGTATCTAATACCGTATTTTAGCCAAGATTTTATGTGATATTCAAGTACGACGAAAATATGCTTGGCTTAATGTGGTATCTTAAGGTGAAGCAAAAACAAGTGCAAAAGCTCTAAGTTCGGCCGAGTCGAACTTTGAGTACACTTCACTATTTGAAACGCGTTTGGCAATTTTCAAAAAAATTAAATCCGTTAAAAATTCCGAATGTACCGAATTTAGCCGTTATATTATGGTCTATACGACGACGTGAACCTGCATAGGCAACTGTGGTATCCATTACGAACTTTAAATACCAATTTTGAAACAATTCTGGTGAATAATGTCGCTAAAATCAGAAAATACCGAATATCGGGAGGTACCGGTATATGGGGGCTATACGAAGGCATGGACCTGCACTGACAATTTTCTGTCATAGGCCGTAGTATCCCTTACGAACTTCAAATACCAAGTTTGAAACATTTCCGGTGAATAATGTCGGTAAAATCATCAAAATACCGAATTTCGGGGGGAGGTACAGTTATATGGGGGCTATACGAAGACGTGGACCTGCACAATCAATTTTCTGTCATAGGCTGTAGTATCCATTACGAACTTCAAATAACAAATTTGAAACATTTCCGGTAAATAATGTCACTGAAATCATCAAAATACCGAATATCGGGAGGTACCGGTATATGGGGGCTATACGAAGGCATGGACCTGCACGGACAATTTTCTGTCATAGGCTGTAGTATCCATTACGAACTTCAAATACGAAATTTGAAACAATTCCTATAAAGAATGCGGGAAAAAAATCAAAATACCGAATATCGGGAGGTATCGTTATATGGGGGCTATACGAAGGCGTGGACCTGCACGGGCAATTTTCTGTCTTAGGCTGTAGTATCCATTACGGACTTCAAATAGCAAATTTGAAACAATTCCGGTGAATATCGTCGCTGAAATTATCAAAATACCGAATATCGGGAGGTACCATTATATGGGGGCTAACGAAGGCGTAGACCTGCACAGACAATTGTCAGTCACAGGCTGTAGTATCCATTACAAACTTCAAATACTAAATTTTAAATAGTTCCGGTGAATAATGACACTAAAATCATCAAAATACCGAATATCGGGAGGTACCATTATATGGGTATACTTCGTTACGATCGGAAGCTAGAGTGATTTTCACAGACCACAGACGGACATCGCTAAATCGACATAGAATTTAATGCTGATCAGGAATATATACACTTTGTGGGTTTTAAAATGTATAGTTCGAGTGTTACAAACGGAATGACAAACCTGATATACCCTCCATACTATGGTGGAGGGTATAGAAAAACACGGCTTCTCTCAAACCGGTATGTACGTGGAATGACGACGTTTTTTGTTGTAATAAACGTACTTGGCCAACAAAATCTTAAAAATAAAACCACAAATCATTACAATGAACCAGCCAGCCTGCCAGCCAGCCAGCCATCATACCAAGAAACGGGTCTAGAGTACTACAACAAGTGCGCCAGAGAGTTAGTTGGTCGCGCCTCCATTACTGTAAACGCCATTCATTGACTGACGTTGTTTTGGTGCTGGCATTGCTGGGGAAGACAAAAAATGAAGGAGCTCGTTGGGTACTCAGGTAGGCAGACAGGTTGTCATTAAATCGAAATGCTTGGCCGACCAACTGTGAAATTTCCAGCGAAAAAAAAAGTTGTAAGTTGGAAATATTTACACCGGAGGCAAGTAGTCCACAAAGTTGTGGGGGGATAGTTAATGGAGGCGAGATAACAATTGGACTTCGTAAGAATGACACATTGAAGGAATTTGAAATTAGTCATAAGTTTTGGGCGATGGGTCATCATCAAAAGGTGGTGCCGAAATTTGTCATATATTTCAATATTTTTTTTTTGTCAACAGATAATTAGTCAATGTCAGTTAACACTTAGTTGTTAGACTTGACCGTGCGAAAATGACAAGAAATCGGTCGGAACATTTAAAATAGGTGGCAGAAGTCAATTGTAAAAAATCCTTTCTTGATACTCATGACTGCGAGTGAGTCGCTGGGAAAATCAAACAATTAACCAGTAAGGAAAAGTCAAAAGTCGGGCGGACCGACTACAGGATACTCTACACCACTATGCATATTTAGTAAAGCTTCCATAACAAAGCAATTTATTTGAAGTAGATCATCAACATTTGACTTTAGAGCAGTTATAGTTTGGTTTCAGAGGGAACTACTATATGGGAGGTATATCTAACTGTGAATCGATTTTCACTAAATTTGACGGAGACATTTTAATCTTTGATACCAAATAACATTGCTATAGAGTGCATGATATCACTTCGAGAAGGATTACATTAAGAAAATATATATCGGAGCCGAGTTCCACAAAATGGAAACGTACGTCCCGAAATTCACTCCATTTGGGCTGATATTAGCCATTAGTTGCACAATAAACCTGAAATCGGATTAAGGATATATATGGGAGCTATATCCAAATCTTAGCCGATCTCGATAAAATTTGGTAATTGTATTTCCGAGCTCTATAAGATATCTATTTCATTGTTATCGAATTTATATTACGAATTTGAGGGACTTAAAATTAAAAATCAAATCGGATATGGGATCTTTAGTTATATCTGAACCGATATTTGCCAAATTTGATGTACTTGCTTCTAGACTGAATTCGGTCGGATGTGCCTGGCCATTTGGTGCACAATTAACCCGAAATCGGTTGAAGATATATATGGGAGCTATATCCAAATCTGAACTGATCTTGATACAAATTGGCAGAGGCATTACTGGACTGTATCTGATATCTGGTACCAAATATCATTGTTGTCATATGCATATTAAGAATGTGAGGGACTTAAACACCATAACATATATATATATATATATAGGAACTATAGCCATATCTGAACCGATTTTCACTAAATTTGATGTACTTGCCTCTCGAATGAATTCGGCTGGATGTGCCAAAATTCAGGTCATATGGACTTATATTGGTAATTTGGTGCACTATTATCCCGTAATCGGTTAAAGATATATATATGGGAGCTATACCCAAATCAGAATCGATCTTGATACAATTTGGCAGAGGTATTTCTGGGCTATATCCGATATCTTATACCAAACATCATTATTATGTGGTGCATATTACGAATGTGGGAGTTCTAGCTATTTCTGAACCGAATTCGATGTATTAGCTTTGAGACTGAATTCGAACGGATATACCAAAATTCAGGACTTTTGGACTGATATTGGCCATTTGGTGTACAAATATGGGAGCTATATCCAAATCTGATCCGATTATCACCAATTTCAATTCGTCCTTGGGCCAAACAAATATTGTTTGGAAAATTTCATCTCAATCGGATAATAAATGCGACCTGCATTTTGTTCACAAGGACACAAGGACAGACTGACGGACTGACATTCATAAATCGACTGAGAAAGTGATTCTATGAAGATCCTCAAAGTAACTATGGGTTTATCTCGCTTCCTTCTCCCTGTTACAAGTAAATGCACAAAGACATAATAACTTTACCACTATGTGGTGTAGGGTATAAAAAGCGAAAGATTTCAAAATTTGTTCTCTGTTTCAGAACCTACAAGAATCTATCAGTTTTGCAATTTATTTAAATATCATAAAAGAAAAAATCGGTTATCGATATCGATAAATTTTACATTCTTGCAGTTCTGGAACAGACCAATTGTGTCAATATTCATTTCAAAAAAAAAAAAATAATAAATAAATAAATAAAAAGTTACAACATCCTACAAAATACTCTGAACATCAGGTATGTAACGCCTCAATATGTGTCTGTATTTTCTGTGAGCACCAAAATTCTGGGTAGTGGCTGATTTATAGTAAATAACATTTCCATTTTAAGTTTCACTTCTTTTTATTTTACTTCTTTTTTGCAATTCACTATCAATTATTTCAATGACAATGTCTTCGTTCAAGTAGAGTATTCATTATCGTATCTTAAAGTTCAGCAAGCATGATGACCCGATCGATCATGTGGAACATTTTCCATATCACTGATTTTTATTGGACCGGAAATAGAAAAAGAAAAAATATAAGTTTAAGGTAGAAACGGAGTGAGCGGATCTCTACTTCGTTTTTTCGTAAGATGTCTAATCATTAAAAAAAATCTACAATTTTTGGCATTTCGATTGGGGTTGAAATGAGTTAGGTGTGGATGAAGCGAGTTTTATAAGACACTGAGACATTTCCTCCGCTTGTTGATGAATTGGGTTTCGAACAGCATCTCCTTAATTAGAAGAAGAAAGTCAGGGTGAAGTCAGGTATTTACGGTATAACTGAACGAATTTATAAAGTCATCTGGTAAATTATGCCTGAATATATCGAGACAG